GTTATCCACATAAGTTGTTGACTTGAGCCTTTCACAGCTCAGCATATTAATATGGCTTTACTTTATATTCCTCATTTTTATACTTTTCTGTTGAAAGGTTAAGTCCAAAATAAAGCAAGACCTATATAACAAGAAATGTAACTTTTGTATATGAAAAGGTCAGTCAAGGCCCCTCAGGATTTATCCTGTAACCCTGTACTGCAGTTTGCAGATCCTTTGTCAGTGTCAGCCCTGTGGATGAGTCATGGAAGGTCCCTAGTTTGATTCCCAGTTCCACCAAAAATAAAACAAAATAATTTTTTTTTTGGAACTGGGAATTGAACTCAGGCCCTTGTGCTTGCCAGGCAAGCATAAATTAATTAATTAATTAAAAGATAAAAAGATGGGTTAAAGTAGCTGTAGGTGTCTATTTTCAGTTAATTTCTGGGGTTTTCCTTTTTTTAAGGTTTGATGTTGCTAAATATGTAATCATAAAGGAAGCACAATACGTTGCTCTGCTAGGGCTGCCATAACAAATTACAGTATCAGATTTAGTAGAATTTTATTGTCTTAAAATTTGGAAGTTAAAAGCCAAAGATGGAGATGGCAGCAGTTCTGATGTCTTCTGAGGTCTTCCCCCTGGACTTATAAGTGGTTGTCTTTTCTCTGTGTCTTTGTACCATCTTTCTTATGTGTGTAAGTGTCACAATTTCCTCTGCTTAGAAAGACACCATTTATATTGAATTAGGATCTACCTGAATAAACTCACTTTTACTTAGTTACCTTTTATTTTAAAGACAATAAAAAATTAAAACAAATTAAAAATGATACAAAATTTCAAAACAAGATGACAGGAAATCAACGATGGTTGTTATATTCAGAGTATAGATCACCAGATATAGCATGTAAAATTGATTAGAAAAAAATAAGCATTAACTGTTCCTTTCAATAGAAATTAGTATAGTTACCCTAGCTATCTTGCATGTGTATCTATATCTATATCTATATCTATATCTATATCTATATCTATACTATTCCCTCTTCTTCATTTTCTCCTTTCACTCATTAATTACCTTTTAAAAGCCTTCTTCCAAATGTCATTTTCTGAAGTAATAATGGTGTGTTAGTTACTCTTCTTTCCTTGCTGAGACAAAGTGCCTGACACCCAACATTAAAGGAGGAAAGGCTCATTTGGCTCACAGTGTGTGGAGGTTTCAGCCCATAATTGGCTGGCTCCGAGGCAGGGTGGCTTGACAGAGGGCCCCACCGAAGAGCACAGATCACGGCAACCACAAGGTAGTAAAACAAACAACAGAGTGAGGGACGAGCCTCTTTCCATCCATTATATCGTGTGCAAGCTACCTGCCTAGGGCTAGGGCAGCTCTGCCACCTTTAATCCTAGCTAGAACTATGCCAAACCTGTCAGTGACTGACTCAGTAATTATATACCTTTAATCCCAGTGTCTTGAATCCCTGATTCCGCCACCTCTGAAAAAGCCCCATCTAAGGCCACATGAGGCTTTGGAGGGACATCTAGAACCAAACCATAACAAGCAGCCAGAACAGCAACCCATGGAATTTGGCAGAAATTGAACTCATAAAATGAAAATGTATATCCTTTTAAATACTGTTTATCTAGCATCATAGATGTATTCTTAATAGATGCCTTTTTTTTTGGGGGGGGGGAACTGAGGATTGAACTCAGGCCCTTGTGCTTGCCAGGCAAGCTTTTATTCTACTGAGCTATCTCCCTGGCCCTGTATTCTTAATAGATGAGGGATCCTAACTTGAAAGACTTGTTCTTTCTAGAAGTACATAAGGAAACATTAAAGCATTTTAGAGGAAGCATAGTTACACAGATAGGAGGTGATACTGCAATTCAGAGAAGGCATCAATATGACCTGGAGGAGAATTGTAGAAACTGGAAGTCAGTATTTATTGGCTTTCCTCTGACGATTTTCTACAGCTAGCATTGTTCACTGACATTAGTTAAAAACAGTAAGAGCATCACCCTCCCTTTCCTACATGTTGTCTGAAATCTTTGGAGCACTGATTTCTTTAACTCACATTTAACACAATTTTAAATGTATTTGTTACTTTTCTTTCCTTTAACATACCACTATTATTTGCACAATTTTAACAATTTTGATGCAGTTAAACATTGAGCAAAAGATAGTGTTATCTGAGACTTTATAGATTCCTATTTACACTCAAAAGATTCTACTTCTAAAATGAAAAAGAAGAGAATGAATGGCTACAAAACAATAATAGCACTATTTGTTGCTACTACCAAGTAACTGGTTAAATAGATTTAGGCTTATTTACAGGGTAAAGTGGTATCTTTGGAGCTGCAGTTCTGTTATGCATCAGTGTTCTATACATTTTTAATAAATGAATGTGTATCCTTGTTGGTCTTTGTTGTATAATCCGAATTATTGTATTTTTTACACTGACTATTTGTTTCTCTCTATATTTTACTTGCTTGCTCAAGGAGAATACATGACGATTTCTCAAGGAGAGATGATCGTACTGCATAGTAAAATAGACACGTGCTTTGTGTCTTGGTAAAGTCTCGTGGAAATCTGCATTAACTTATATAGTAGGACCACTTTTTCCCTGTCCACAGTTTTTACTTCTGGTATCTTGTTTTAATTATTAACAGAGTAACTGCATTCTTTTGAATGTTCAGTATTGTGTCTAGGAATTCGGAAAAAATTTTTTGAATGATATATGAAGCCACTAATTAGTTTGTGAATATGCTTTCTATGCCTTTTATAGATATATTTTGCATAATGACCAGCTATCTCTGGAGAAGACAAGATAATTTGAAGAAGTTTTCTGACATGATTGTTTTGTACAGAATTTTTTGTCATTACTATTTGTTTTAGCCTTTTTTAATTTGTAGATTTGTCCATGTAGTAAATCTTCTTACAATTTTCAAATTAAGTCTTTAAAATATCAGATGCTGTGCTCAGTGTGGGAAGTGAAAGTATGTGTCACCCAGTGTGTCTCTGACTGAACTTAGTGTCAGCGCCACACAAGGCCTCCCTGTGCTGTGCTGGTCCTCACCCAGGGGAGTAACTGGGCAGGGAGCTGGACAAGCGTGGGGAGTAGGAGGGTGCCGCCAGCTGCACCCTGGAAAGAGGTGGCTGGGACTTCCGACGGATGAGAGGTTCCTAAAGAAGGGCTGTGACACTTTCTGCATTTAAGGGCTGATTGTCGTGGCTCAAGGAGCACGTATGTTAGGAGGTCAGGAGAAGAGCATATGTGGTGTAAGCCGTAGCCCATTGTCTATCATTCAGGCACACGTGAGTTTGGAGCCAGGAGAGAAGGATAAAGTGAGACACAGACTGGGAGGAATATTTACAAATATTCTGGATACTTCTGTTCTGAAGAGCAGAGGAAGCTATAGAAAGCCAGGTATTAAAGATACGTTAGAGAGCAGGAATAACTGATATAGCCTGGCTTCAGGGATGAGCAAAATGCATTTTAGCGTCCAGAGAAGGAACAACAGCTTTGGCTTTATTATATGCTAAAAGGACAAAGGATGTGTGTGGATACAGTCATTTTCCTTGATAGACATCCAAATACAAGCACCAGCCACTATGTAGATCCTATGGCTACAAGGTTAGTAAGCTGTGGCTGCAGCCTAGGGTTGGAGATAGATGAGGAAGGCAGTGGGATGTATGTTACGTGTCCTCAGAGTTTTCTGCAGGGGTGGCAGAATCGCAGGGAAAGTAGGAGCAAGGGTTTCCAGAACTGGAAAGGATAGAAAACAACAGCAGGTTGTACTTGAAGTAGGAGGCAGGGAAATGAGAAGGATTGAGATAGGATTGAGTTTGGGAAAATGTGGTAATTGAAAACCATGATTGGAGTTTGTGTGTGTGTGTGTGTGTGTGTGTGTGTGTAAAATTGAAAAATATACATTTATCATTAGATATACATATATTTTTTTGTTTAAACATCAGGTGAAACTTTAGAAGTATTCGAGAAAATGAATTTTTCTGACGAAAGAAGCTTCTTGCTTATCCTCCCTCATTCCCTTTGATGACTTCTTTTTTTTTTTTTTTTTTTTTTTTTTTTTGAAGCCAATTTAATTGAAGAAAGCCACTATGTCCGAAGTGCTTTGGTACTCTGGCATAATTTCAAAGAAATCTCCTTTCCTAGTTAGTTAACTACATTTCCCCAGGAAAAAAAATCTCTGTCAATGTAACATCCTTTAACGGGACTCCTGCTGCTCTGTTCTTGTATCTTGCTGTGGCAGCTGTGAACATATATATTATTGATTGTTAATGTGTGATATAAACCCGACTGGAGCATGTCCACTAATTGGTTTGAGAGCTAGATATAGACAATGCTGTCTTATAGTAGCCTGTGTAGATAGGCCTCGTCGCAGGTTAATTCTGCTTGACAGCACATCAGCAGCGTCTTGAGAGTAATTACCCAACAGAAGCTTTCCCACAGCCAAACCGAGGGCTTCAAAGGCTTGTGAATTTACAACTAGTATTAACCTATATCTGAAACATAATGCTCCCACAAGGCTCAGTTTTTTTCCTTCCTCTTATTAAATGTATGGAGTTACTAGGTTCATTTGCTGTGTGCTAAGAACTTACTGAAAAATTACTTAGTGTTAAATAATTAAAAATCTTTAATAAAGTAAAACAATGATTATAGGTTTGGTCTTTTAATGATCTGTGTACTGAAACAAGTAATTTATAGAGATTGATGCATTTAAATATGTATCCTCTTTTCTCTCAAAAATTAGCTTAAGAATTTACTTTTTCCGTACTGGGCCACTACTTACTGGTATGTGCATGCAAGTTCAGGGAACGTAGGATAATGCATGCATTTAAAATTGTGAAAATAAATATATAGTTACACTGTAGAAAAACTTTACTTTATTCCAATGTACAGAAATCTCTAACTTTTAATACTGCTCCAAAAAAAAATACTGCTCCATAAAATAACTTGTTATTGTATAAACAATTTCTACATTGTAAAAATTCTTTTTCACTTTGCAGATCAGAAACCAAATTTGACTCCAACTCAGGTATGTTTATATTGATAATGTTATTGTGAGTATGTTTTATTTACGTTATTCTCTGAGGAGTAATTTATCAGATCAGTCATTCTGATTTTAAACTGACTGGTTAGTTTCTTTTGAATAGTTCTGCAATAAGCATTAAATATTCTAATCTTCACAGTTCAGGGATGGGTGCTATATATATTTCCTGGTCAAAATAGAATAGTATTTTCACCATGAACGAAGCATTTGAATAACTTGAAGATTCCCTGCAAGTGCTTTGTCATCAAATGTGGTTGATGGCTGCATTTAATCCAGCAAAGTCTAATGAGTTTCAGCCAATAGAAATAAAGATTTGTCTATGACTTAGTTTTTTGATTATTTGTTGGGTGCTGATTGACAATTAAATCACCTTAAGACATTACTTTATATCTAGTAAGAGAATTTCTGTCCTCACAAAGGCCTATCAGCCTTGTTAAGATGATTTTTCTTCAGCACACATGAATATAACCATGTGATTCTCAGTTTGTCTTTATGTCCCTTGCTGAATTTTATACACTTCAGAGTTTCTGATGATGTTTACAATTAAAATGCAACATTTCACTCCTGTTTCACACCAATGAATTATGCCTTTGATGGGCTATTTATGAGTAAAAATTGTTTTTTAATTCCAATAGAAAATAATTTGCAGAAAAATATATAACTTTTTGAATATAAAAATAACATTTATACTCTGCTATGAGTTCCACAATAATTTAACTTAAACATGTTTTTGCTTGTTATGTTCATAGAGGAACCAAGTACTGTAACTTCCGTAGTATTGTTAAGGAACTAACATGCTTTTCTTCCTAAGCTTCATCTTTCTTTTGTCTATAGATTTATAAATTTCTCCAATTTGGTGGGACTATAAAGTCTATACACTTAAGTTGACAGAGTCACTTAATTTAAGAACTGAGATTCTAGAACTCCATCTATTTTGTGTATTTTGGGGCTTCTGAATTACATGTACAAGTGATAGTATAAGAAACATTTTTGGTAAATAGTACTAGTTTGAGACACTTGGTGTGATGACATTGACTTGTTTCATTGATTTGTTAAAGGTGTTTCAAACTAGAGTGAAAGTGTTTTTCATTTTTTAGTAGCTAACATCTTTAAGAACATTAAGACAAACAAAACTGATGGAGAATAAATTTTTATACGAAGTTGCACATCTTTATCTTTGCCATTTAGACACCAAATATTTATTAAGAACTCATTTTATTATGATCTGATCTCGAAACATCAGTCAAGCAACTGGTTTTAGGGTGCAGGAAATGGAATAGAGCTTTTAAAAAGGAAAAAGTCCTCTAGGCTCATTCTAAAGGTTAAATCTGGAAATAGTGCACTAAACTGAAATATTAGGCAGCTCTTGTCAAAGTTAAATAATTTATGTCAAATTTTCAGAACCAAATTAAAGTATGCTGCTAAATCTCTGTAACAAAGCTTAGTATTTATCATGAAATTAGTTATAACATCTGTAACAGCACACATCTTTCACTCTTGTGACTGTTATTTTCAAGTCCTTTAAAAAAATGTCTATCATGAAGAACATGTGCGTATCTTTGAAAACTACAAGTTTCTGTAGTCTTTATGGAGAATACTGATTAAAACTTTATTTTTTTAATTTTGAATTAAAATACAGAGTAAATTCATATGGTTTCAAATTAAGAAACAGGTAGTTTTTCTTATAACCTCTTTTAGCATAGTGTTGTATGAGGAGTCATGAGAAAGAAAGTGAGAAATGTCTGCTTTGGCATTTTATATCCCTAAAGTTTTGGTTAGAAATCAGGTAGCATATTGGAACAATTAAATGCGTAACTTTAATGGGCTCATATTCCCTATGGTTCATCAAATACAGAATGTAAACTAGCTCTGTTTAATGCTATATAAAGTTGTGACAAAGTAAGATTTTTAAATGAAGGATGGTACTAATCTTACTTTGAAAAAAAAAACTTTAAAAAATAAATACTAGGGCTGGAGATATATCTCAGCAGTGCAGCATAGTGCCTGCCTGGCAAGTGTGAGATCTCGAGTTCAATTCCTGGTACCCTAAATAAATAAATATTCTGCTCAGTGGCTAGCCATAAAGGAAAGGATTTCAAAAAATAATTCACATATATACCTTAGAAACACACACACACATTATATGTGTACATGTATAGATAAAAAGAATATGTATATTTGTGCATGTGTATTTATAGATATACTTTTTTTCAAGGAAAGTACCCAACTTATACAGAATTTGCTGTACATAGATAGTTTTTATCAGGCTATAAAGTGAAATTCAGGAACAAAGAATTATTTTCATTGCTACTACATGGTAAAAAATTTCAGTTGTTGAATATATACCAAATGATCAGCTTAGAGATTAATATAAATATTTTAATAAGAATTTTATTAATTATTTTCATGAAAGCAGTTCCATACATAACCTCCTTGGTGCTTCTTTCTTTTTTTCTTTCTTGAAACAGGATCTTGCTATGTAGTTCAAGCTAATCTTGAACTAACAGGACTCCTCCTGCCTCCACCTCTTGAGTCTGGGATTACAGGCACCACCACTCCTGGATTCCTCTTGCTTTTTTTAAAGTTAAAAAAAATTTATGATGAAAATTTCCATTGTATTTAAAAGTAGAGCATAGTATTTTGAGCTCTTAAGATAACTATTATTTAAAATGTATTTTATTAATACTTTGTCAAATTTATCTCACCTGCATTTTAGTGTGAAATATTTTGAAGTAAAATACGTATGTTTATGTGATTTTTAAAACCTGAGTATCAGGCTGGGAAGATAGCTCAGCAGTCTAAGCACCTGCCTGGTAAGCACAAGGACCCAGGTTCAATCCCTGATACTGAATGCCAAGGTGGCCCTGGAACTCTGAGCATGTAGTGCCAGCCTTGAAATCAGGCATGGTGGTGCACACCTGTAATCCCAGTGCTGGGGAGGCTGAGACAGTAGGATCACTATGAGTCTGAGCTGCATAGCAAAATCCTGTACCAAATAAATAAATAAAAAAAACCTGAGTATCTTTTCTTGACTTATTGAAATGGGTCACTTATCATCTATCTTAGAAATTTGAGTCACATACAAATTACGGAGAAGATTGTGGCACCTCTATGTCCATGCTCAGTTAAAGGGACTTTGAAATTCTGCTTGTGATGAATTGTGTAGTTAAGAAATTCTTCAGTCAGAATTAATTCTGATCTGAGAACCCCAGGAATGTTCTATTCTCATACTTAATTTGGTTTAAATTTTAGCTGCCATTTCATATGGTCTGTATGTATCGATTTATATGATTAAGATTTCTATTGATTTAGAGCTTGACTTGTTTAAGTAGAGTGAGGCTACCTTCTTTCTAAAGGTATTTCAAGCTTTCTGTTTTAACACTGCTTCCTGGTTGATGTGGTAATAATGTTGCTTGCTTAGGATCATGTGGAGTTGGTGATCTTACTAATAGAGTAAAACAGACCTCCTTTTATGTTCACAAGTAGCAAAAAGCTGTGCTCTTCTCCCCACCTCCCAAGAAGGGAAGTTAGTTGATGCTGGAGGAAGCAGAGCATTGAGTTTAATGTAGTGATTAAACATGAAAGCCATATATCAAATCTCAGGAGAAACATACTTTTGAAAGAGGCAGAGCACTGTGGAGCATATTGCATGATAGGCTATATAAACAGCGCCCTGGAGGTCAATGTGCGGATGCAAACCAATTAAATAAAGACCTTACTGGCTTTGCTTTCTATCATCTTGATGGGGAGGATCACAAGTTAACGTGCTCAGGGTTGAAGTATAAACTTCGCTAGGGTAAGCTAGGCACCTTTGGAAACTAGTTTAACTCTTTCAATTCACTACCAGGATTTTTTTTTTTTAAATCAAGATTCCTAGAAAGTTAAAAATTTAAATTGCAAATATGTACTTTTTTGGTGCTTCTTCACATATCTTTCAGGGAAGGTGCTAATAATGGGTTGAAAGGAAGGATAATATAGAGAATGAGCAGCTGAAAAGACAAAGTTGACTGTATAGTCACATTTCAAGAAAAGGCATGTCTTTCAAAGACAATCCATTTGGAAAAGCAGAATAACTGGCAAAAGGTGTTTCTTCTTCAGAATTGTGGGTGTACATCAAAGGTATTGTTAGAATTTACTGATCACTAATACATCAAAATACTATTATTTCTGCTCTGATGTAAATGAGAAGAATATAATACTTGAAAATTAATAAGTATATGTTAAAGACTGCTTGAGGCTAAGTCTGTAATTTTAACCATTCCAGGTTATGTTTGGGTGAGAAAATAAAATACCAAATTAAATGGTATAGTTTTATGACTCATAAAGATTCACAACAAAAAAAAAATTTCATCTAGTCATGCTGGCTGAGAAAATGAATAAGCTCATATTTAGTTCTTGTTGATTCTGGGCAGCTTGGGATAGCTATGCTAAGGAAATGGGCTTATAGAGCACAGCAACTCAAAGGTATAAGATTTCATGAAAGCAAATTATGGAGGATTAAGAAACCTAATGAGCATGGTTTAGTGTGGAGAGTTGAGGCGGGAGCTCACTATTAAATAAAGCCCAAAAGTGTACAAGGTTAGGAGATCCTAAAAGACACGATCATAAAAGGCACAACAGAATATAATTATCTTGAAGAGGGGAAAACCTTCAAGGAACAAAAAGCCGCTAGTGTCGCTTTTAGGATCTGCGATTAAAAAGGAATCTACACACCAGGCTAAGGAAATCAAAGAATACAATCAGTTAACGCATGAGGGCATGAAAAACAGAGCGGCTTGTTACTTGAAGGGAAATGATTTTGAATGTAGTAGACCTGAGTCTCCAGATCTTAGCTAAATTGTCTCATTTATTAATAAGTTTTCAAATGTCTTCTAATGAAAAGCTAATAAGGAACATATTTTCAGTTCTTAAGTATGGGATATGTTGACAGTACAATGTAGTTTGATCATTTTAACCTCTATCTTAAAAGTTCTTATAACAATGAA